GAGCAGTCCAATAAATTTTAAAAGTTATGATGAATGAAATGGGATTTGGAGGGATACTATAATTTATCATACATTTCAAATGTGAAACAAACAAGAACAAAATTGACCCACTGCTTGTTCATACCTAACTGCCTGGGAACCTTGGTAGATAAGAATCACACTGAAAAACATTGTCCCAGAGACGAGAACTATTCTTGATATGCAGCCGGAATCTGAAGACTGGCTGTTATTACCTACATTCTTATCTGTTCTACCTGCTCTGTAGCTTGCACTGGGAAAATATAAGAGCCCCTCTGTGTGTTCTTGCATCACTATATCAAGTTGCCTGCACAGCAAGTATGGCTTACCCTTGCTAGGTGCTCCCTAGGCTTCACCCACCTGATCACTTGATAGACTATTGCTATTTCTGGGTTGTAGCCCAAGGACCTTGTTTATCTTATTCACATCTGTGTTCTTATTGCCCCACACAGTTTCTGGTATGTAGTAAAAGCTCAATAATATATGAAATGAATACACAAATCAAGATGAGAGAAATTAATCTTCTGTGCTCTGGGCCAATAGTGGAGGAAATTCACTGGATAAAGAACCCCTTTTTCAGAGCAGAAAGTAGCTACCTATAGAAAGGTCTCTACAGTATACTCAGCTATCCATTTACTGCCCTAATAATTAACAGTTAACACAGGTGGCTCTTTCTCCTCAGAAGTTACTTCTGAATATCAGACCTTTTATGACTTTCATATTTTCAGTTGAATTCTGATGTTTAAAAATACTGCATTTTTTTTTTGTATTTCACATATAACTTGGATACATTTACATCAGGGAAAACTCTCCTAACAGAACTACTAACTAATAAGTAGTCTTGCTAGCTTTAGGAAGTAGTCAAGATATATATACACATATTTATTTATTTAGATATGTTTAAATATTCATTTGAAAAGAGCAACAGTAAAAGATCCTTTTAAAGGTTGGTCTGTTTAGTAAGTTTTGCTTCAACTTTTATGCAAAGAGATTGTTTTTGTTCTCCATGTTTCTTGTGGTGACTTATTCCTGCCTTAAAGAAAACAGACACAAAAGTCAGAATCTGTCATTGTTAGCTCTGCAAAGAGAATGGGTATGACAACAGTGAGATTTTAAACAGAGGACAGAAAAAAGAGTAGACTACTGAAAACAGTAAGACCAAGACAAAGCTTAGGGGAAAAAGTTACAAAGTCCATGTAGCAAACCACAAAGCCAACAATTCCCTTTGGCAAAAAAAGTTGCCGTGAGCTAATACACATACCCTCCCTGTGCTATTGCAGTATGTTTTTAAGTCCAAATTAGCATCCTTTAAAATAAGCCTAGAATGTCCCTCTGGCATGTTTTGCTCATGTTCTACTATGTATTATTAGAATTGCCAAAAAGATGAGAATGATATAACTGTCACTGAAATCTGCCTGATCTTCAACATCTGGATTGTGACAATTACTGAGCTATTGCTCAGATACAAGTTAATCAGAGAAGTTATCCTGGAAGAGAGTAATCCTTGCATCTAGGATAAAGGATTATACATAAATTCATTTTGAATGAATAAACAAACAATAAATAGATCAGGAACTAAATGTCACAAACTCTTGATTATCAGGTTTCTAAATTACTAATAGCTAAAAAAAATAGTGCATATTTAAAAATCCATTTGCATGTTAGAAAGTAACTATTATTTGGAATCATACTTTAAGCAAAAATAAGTTCTAAAATTTGGCTACTGTCAAGTTGTAATACTTCCTTTCCTCTCACTCCCTCTTTGCCAATAGCCTCTGATTAGAGCAAAACACCTCTCTGTTCCAAGGAACTAGCACAGAGATAGGTACTTGGTAGAAGCTTAATAAACTCTTACAAAACCAAGTTAGTACTATTAATGAAAATGTCTAAGAAGAAAGCTATGGGTAGTTCTGTCAAAAACAGGTTCATATTATATATATGTCCTGATTAAAGATAGAATAATCAGTGATATAAAGGTTAGTCCACTCTGGGCTAACTGCAGAATGAATATGGTTCAGGCATGGGTTTCTTTAATAAAAATTTTATATATAGGTAGCTCTTGTTGCACTAATATAATGAAATCATTGAAATGATGAATATAAGTTAATCAGAGTTAAGTCTAAATAAATTCAGGCCAAAGAAAAAGTCATCCTCCAAATCTGTTCACTAATTTGATTTTAATTGCAAGCTTAAGATGAAGCTTTGTCATTTTTAAAAAATAAAGGTAAATTTACAAGAGACAGTGTTTCTTCTCACATATTCAGCAGATACCAAATCATTATGATACATGCACAGTCCAAAAGAAGTCTTTAAACTTAAAAAAGCTTTTCTTAGGAACTCTGTTTATGACCTGAGTGATAACTTTCACAAAGACACTCTGAAAACAGAGAGAAATCCTTACCTCTTGCAGTTAAATTTCAATAAAAATTTCAATTATATGGAGCCTTGGGTTTTTCCTGTAACCCTCATATTTAATTTTGTGCTCAGTATTAAAGGAATTAAAGTCAATTTCTTTACCAATGAATTGTGGGGAACACAAATTAAGATGAAAGAATGAACTGGGAATATGCATGCAAATATTGTGCCTTCATATTACTATATGGCATAATCTGTAAATCTGGTACTAATGAGAGTCCAGATTTAAATGGCTGAAGAATGTATTTAGTGAATTATTGTCAATCAATGCCTCTGTTCGAGGATAAATGTAATCTTGAATGCCAACACACCTATTATTACAAATTCCTAACTAAGTACAGTTCTTCATTATTTCAAAATGTCATTGTCAATTTATAGAGTAACAGATAAACATCTTTCTACCATATATCCCATTGCCTTTCCTTCAGAGTATGAAACACTGACTATTATGAAAAATTATAAACTCAACATTTTTATACCAATAAAAGAAACCCAATGAGCATTAAAACTCTAAACTAGTTGTAGTATTCCAAATTTGCATGTTTGTTAATGTGGATATATTAGGTTTTATACCATTGTAATTAAATACAAATTTTTTTAAGTTGCCTTATTTTGTGCAAATTCTTTCAAACATTCATTTATACAATCATTTAACAAACATTTATTGAGTGCTGACTTTGTTCTGGGTACATGTTAGGGGATAGAGTTACAAACATAAATATGATATGACTCTTGCTCTTTTTTTTTTTTTCTTTTGAGTTGGAGTCTCACTCTGTCACCCAGACTGGAGTGCAGTGGCCGCTCCCAGCCACTGCAGCCTCGACCTGCTGGGCTCCGGCGATCCTTCCGCCTCAGCCTTCCAAGTAGCCGGAACTACAGTAGCGCACTACCACGCCCAGCTCGTTTTTTGGTTTATTGTAGAGATGAGCTCTCACCAAGTTGCCCAGGTGGGTCTCGAACCCACGGGCTCAGGCAAACCACTCACCTCAGCCTTCCAAAGGCGCGGTTTTACAGGCTGAGCCACTGAGCCTGGCTGACTCTTGCTCTTAACAAACTCATAGCTTAATGGAAGACAGAGATTAGCAAATTAAGTAGAATACAATAGTTCACATTTGCAATAACTAAAAGATATCTTCCTACTGAAAACACTCACTATACTTGGACATTTTTCATCATTGCTCAGAAATCAAACTCTCCATTATTTACTCTAAGAAAATATTTTTTTAAAATTAAAAGCCAACAAAAATTTAAAATTATAATCTTATAAATATCTGTACATTTAGCATCTCAAATTAACAAATGCTAATATTTGTTTCATATTTTATCTTAAGGCTATTTTCCAGATCCAGAAATGTATTGATTGATCAAGTACTAAGGATTACTTGAGATTACTATTTATAGCTTCTATCAGCTATATGACCTTGGGAAAATTTACTTAACTTTGACCCTCAGTTTTCTCATCTGAATAGTGGAGATAATCATACCAATCTATGCTAGATAATCTTCTATTTAATCCCTCAGAAACCATGCTCTACCTAGTTTTTGCCCAGGGAGACTCTTCTGCCTTCTATCTTCCAGTAGGCACTTGGGTTAGTCCAATAAAAGATTAGTATGATTAGAAGATTAGTAGTGGATGAGGGCTCACAAGGAAAGTGAAGCTATTCCCTGGTTTCCTCCCTATCAGGTTACCAAGGTTGGCTATATCCCTCTATCAAAAGCAGTCCTCTCCATATAGCAGGCCTTCAGGCCTAGAGTTGATAACGGCTCCTTTTACTGTTGGAGTCTCTATTATCCTCTGTTGATTTCTGAAAACCTTGCCCATATCTTTAGAAACAGTCCCCTTATTAAACTCTTCTCAAATAACCCAGTTTGAAAGTGTCATCTATTTCCTGCCAGAACCCTGACTGATGCACATATAACCTCTTGGGTTATTTTGAGGTTCACATGAGATAATATATGTAAAGTGCTTAGTACAGTGTCAAGCATATTATAAATTCTTGGTAAGTGTTGAATACTATTGTCATTGTCAATATTGCTGTATTATTGTTTTATTTGAGGTTATATGCTCATGTTATCTATAAAATGAGCTATGTTTCTGTTACATGAGTATGTTTGGGAGACCGAGAAATTCAGAATTCTGGAGCTCTTTTAGTAATTCTCATAGTACTTCCAAAATATATTTAACTACAAAATACGTTTATTAATTACCAGTCTCAATATTTAAGAAGAGTAAGAGAACCTTAAAAGTAAGTGATAAAAGTAATACAGTAGATAGAATTTCTTGGACTATGGTTTCTTCTGTAAATGCTTCCAAACTCATTCCTTACAAATTGATCTCCCATCAGCACTCCAAATTCAGCAAAGTACAAAAATCCATAAATGTAAACAAATTGTTGGGTCTTGGGATCATGAAAAGAATAGACTTAAAGGTAGACTCAATGGCATAAAAATCTTAGTAAATCTGGAAATGCATCTTTGTCAGCCTTATTGATCAATCATGATGTAGGTGAGCATCATCATTTGATAAGCTACCTCATCAAAATCCTATTAAAGATCTGCTTAACCTTTCACCTTACCTCATCCTTTATATCTTCCTGCTGTTGGGCGGTGAAGATCTCCATTGCAGCCATGAGTCTCATCATCAACTCATCCACTGTTGTGTTACCTGACAACACAAGGAAATTGCCAAACTTTTAAAAAATGATTTATATATAGCTTCAAATTTATAAAGTTATTAAAGGATGGAAATGGAACTGATGGTCCTTGTTGCCATTGATAAAATTTGAATTTTCAAGCAAAAATTTATATCTTCCACCTTAACAGTGACAGCTTAAATAAGTTTTTGATATTAGTGGTGATATTCTTCTCTTCTCTCAAACCTATAGGCAGAAAGAGTTAGGTAGTATGTAGATGGAAAGGGGAGAAATACTTTAATAGACAATTGTGATATTATTTTTGATACTACATTGAAACTGACAAGTGGATATTTCTTCAAATTAGATGCATGTGGAATGTGAAACCATTATCAATGAAGTTTTTGTACTTTGTTACATTAAAATCCATTGCCCTTTGAATGGATCTTTTATCTGTGCATGATTTTATTTCATCATGCATTGGTCATTTGAAAAACATTGGTTCACTGAGTTATGCATTTCTTCTGAATGTTGACACACTTCATTATAGGATATTAAAAAATATATTTGTTAATATCACCACTAATGTCATCAAAAATGTATTTAAGCTGTCAATGTTAAAGTGGAGTAGATACGTTTTTGCTTGAAAACTCAAATTTTATCAATGGTGACAAAGACTGTTAGTTCTTTTACTTGAAACTAACATTCACTTTGTTCATTTTGGAGAAAATGTCTGCCAAATACCTAGTTTGCTTGTCAGTTATACTTCCAAGTAAAAATGATTTCTGTAAAAAGAAAAGCAACTAGTTCAGCTCAAGTAACCACACAAGCATGTTTCATTGAGACAATTAGTATTCTTTAGTATCACAAGTGATTTCTCCATACCTCCCATTGTGGCACATAAACCATTAAAACGGTTAAGATTTAATAAAAGTAATAATTTTTATTTCTTCATCAAGGCCATTCTTACATAGCTTTTCATTTAATTTTTGAACTGTAAATACAAGGCTGTGAAGAATATGATGATTTTTGAAGGTGCCAACAGTTTTACAAACTACTGCTTTGGAGCTACTACTCCAAATGTCAACACAGTAAAAAAGACAACAACAAAGACAACAATTATGGAAATAATTTTGACCTTACAGATCCCCTGAAAGGGTCTAGGGTATCTCTGGAGTCTATGGACCACATTTGGAGAATTGCTAGCTGTGGAAATACTGCTTCTGACAGGGAAAGCAGGAATAAAGTGGAATCTTCATTATTCATTTACTTTATGTAAATCAGTTCCTCCTGCAGGTCTTTTAAAATACTGTTTATTAAACTGAATGCTCTAGGAATAGAGAAAACTTAAAATACCAGAGGTTTGGTTTTGTTTGGGTTCTAAAGGTACTGGAATTTACACATTCCCTCTTCTCCATTAGACTTAAATGAGGACAGAAATTAAAATCCCAGACATAGCTTGAGCTTAGGGCACTTGAAAGACCTTTTTCCTAGTGGTATAGAGAAGATATACTGTTTTCAATTTAAGCTTTGCCATAAACAAGATAATATTTTATATGAATCCTTGGAGTGTACTAGTAACAGTAAAAAAAGGGGGGGGGGGCGGGGGAGACCTCATCAACAAGGATACCTGCATAATGAACATTTGTATACCTAACCCTGAATTGTATCACACATCTTTAAAATAAAAAATTAAAAACCAAAAAAAAGAAAAAAGCCCATTCACTTATTTTTTGGTAAAGAATGTACACTGTGGTTAAATTCATAGTCATCTGATACCTTCACGCCTCAGGGTTGCATCCTAGACATGGAATTGCACAAATAAGGAGAAACAACTGTCACTGTGAACAATTCAATTCAAATTATACAGTGATTGGATTTTCCAGAGAACTAAAGGCAGATATTTCTTTCAACTAATCAACTTTACATCAAATAAATAAATATAAATAAGAAATGTCATATTTGGCAACTATGACCTGCTTGCTAGTCTACAAAATTTAGCTATTCTGAACATTTAACTTGTATAGCCCATGTCCCAAGGGTTGTGCAATCTAAAAAAGATGTTCCTATTAGGTTTTCATGAAGCACATTTTATTTTTTTTAGCACCTATACTTTTTGAAGACATTCTTCAAGATGTTCTATAGTTTAAAATGCAAAGATATCATCAATAAAAAGAAATATTGTCAGTTTCGATAGTAAAAACTATACAGTTATCATATATACAGGAAGACTTTATTCTACTTGTGACATGCACTTTACCTTGTATCACATTTAATACTTCATTAGATGATCGCTTTCCCATAATGATCAGGAAAAGTGGAAACTGATCTGTTTTCTGAGTCCGAATGGTTTGTGCAACAACACTGCCAAAGTGTCTATTGCACATTGTCAGAAATCTAAAATGAGACAAAATCCAAAGTAAGTTTCATTTCAGAATTGAAAAAATTTACTAGTGTCCCAACAAAACCTCCTTGTTTTATTAGCTATATTAAATCAATATATAAATATATATTGCCTGATAGCAATATATAAAATCTTGCTACATTGAATTTTCAACTAAATTTTAATAGATACAGAAATGATTACCATATAGAAAAGCAGGAAGCATACCCCATGCTGTCTGGGGCTAACATAATAGGATTCTTAGTTTTAAACATTGCAAGCTGTACTACCCTTAAACTATGAGAAAAACAAACCAAATGAATTTCAAGAGAAGAGAATTTCTTAAATAGAACAAATAATATAATGTGATACAAAGATAAATTGACTAGCATCATCCTAAAACATAATTTAGCAACATTTTCACAAGTCTTTAGAATCAAGAACTGTACTTTTAGAATTGTTTTCTCTAGTAGTAGTAGGTCTTCTGGTTTCATATTTAGCATGAGATAAAAATAATAATTCTAAGCTTTTGACCAAAAAAAAGCTCAGAGATATTAGCATACTGAAGTCTAGCATTAGTATTCTTAACACGATCTGGAATAAATGAAAAAACTGATAAAGCTTTTCTCTTCTATTAGAGGACTGTTTGAAATTAGCATTTCTTTCAAGAGAAAAGGGTAGCTTATGATATGTTTTCAGATCTGATGGTAAAAAGTAAATGTCATAATAATAATGAATTATGAAAGACCAAATGCAAATATAGAATGCTTTAATAAGATCCAATTTAATAAAGTCTGTAAAAATAATGGACTTTTAATAACACAGGTCACAAAAGGCAAAACAGTGGAAATTCTAGGGACTAGCCACTGGTACTGGCTTATTAATTCTTAATTATGTTCATGAAAGGCAACTTAAATCGTGTGTTTTCTTATGCCTTATGATAATATTTTAGGTAACAACCTCTCTGAAATGTATGTTCTAGCTGATGAGCAAAGTCCCGTCGTCACATGCATTAGAAGGTAAATCTATTTGAAAAGACAAACGGCATTAAAATGCCATGTGCTCAGACTCATTTGATGTCCAAATTCAAAACAGAATCAAAAATCTTAATTTCTAAAGTCAATGCACTTTTCTGTCTGTAGATATTCATCTCAGAAATTTGGGCTGAATTGTCCAGAAACCTGTGCTTTGACTATAGAAAGTAGGTCTTGTTAAGGGGCCACCAGAACTGTTGGCAAGAGTGTCAAGACAAGTTAGCACCACTAAGCTCACTGGCAGGCAAGTTCATATACACTTTTAGAGTAGAAATAACTAGACCTCATGATTTGGTATGATAAAGTCTTTGTGATATGACATGGCCATTGCTGGCCATGAAATATCAGAATTGTCATGAAAATTCAAACCTTCAACATTCCACAACTATAATGCGATAAAAAGTGCCCATGTAGCAAATTTCACACCTATATAACTTTAATTTATCAATAGGCATGTATAGATCAGGAGAGGAGAAAGTTAGGATCTCATTTTTCTTTGTTCATCTTTCTAAAATACTTGAAGTCAGTCTTGACCCTGATCTAATCATTGGCAACCTCTAAAATTAAAGATGTTAAAAACAATTGTAATGCCATTTTGTACAAAAGGGAATAAGTTCTTGTGCTTTCACACCAACAGATTAAGCATATATCATACAGTAGATGCCCATTACTGCATTAACCTCACAAGTGATATTACATACTGGCTAAATAGGATACTCTTCAAAAATGAAAGAAGAAAGAAAATAGGAGAGAGAGAGAGAGAGATGAGTGGTGGTGGGGGGGCACTGAGGAAAGCAGGCAGGCTTAGTGGTTTTAAGAATTCTACTTCTGGGCAACTTGGTGAGACCTCATCTCTACAATATATCAAAAAAAAAAAAAAATTAGCCGGGTGTGGTAGCGCGCGCCTGTAATTCCAGCTACTTGGAAGGCTGAGGCAGAAGGATCGCCGGAGCCCCAGCAGGTCGAGGCTGCGGTGGCCGGGAGTGGCCACTGCACTCCAGTCTGGGAGACAGAGTGAGACTCCAACTCAGAAAAAAAGAATTCTACTTCATGAAAATTTTGCCTGAAAATTATATATTTCCCATATTCTTTTTTATGAAAATGAGCAAGGAGGGAAAATAATTATAATAATGTAAGTATCTTAATAGGTATAAAATACTAAACAACACATTTTAAAACTACACAAAGCATATTTAAGAGAGGTATAACATCCAAAGGCACATAGCCATTCAATTAACTATAAAGAACAACAAAGTGATCAATTTTCTATCAGTTACTGGCAACTCACTCTAATTTTTTGGGAGTAGTTGAGAAGTATACAGAGATCGATCACACAGTCAGCTGACGCTTTATAGTAACTTTAAATAACAACTTGTTCTAATTAAAGAGAGACTGTTAAAATCTTAATTAATCCAATTAATCTTCCTAAAATCTGTTTCATTTTTGAGATTTTCAAATTGCAAACACCAAGAGCCTATAGGGCCAATCGACAGTACCAAATTACAAAATTCCTACTTGTCAATTCATGTCATTATAATTAACAGGCACTTGAAGTAGCACGTTACACAACACATATCAAATCTTTCACATGGCTAGGAGGCTCAGCTTCTTTCTCCCAAGATCATTTACAGTACAAAGTTACCATTCACGGCATACACAAGTAGCAAAAAATTCAGTTACGTGCATTAGAAGAAAAATAGACATGGGAAAAACAAGTCATTTTAAGAAAGACAGTGCAGTTTTCATAATTGTAGTTCTTCCTTTTGAACAGATAAAAGTGCGCCAGTCCATCTAGTGGCAGGGTCAAAGTTGTCAACCCAATTGCACATGGCATTCATCAGTATTAGATTCAAGAAGAAATAAGTGGTTTCCATAGCAATTAGACTTGCAATCTCAAACTCAAAGAGGGAGGAGCAAAGACAAACTGTTCTGCAACAAGGGGAAGTGACTGTGTTTTATTTATTTATTTATTATTATTATTATTATTTTTGGAGCCTCACTCTGTCACCCAGACTGGAGTGCAGTGGCCGCTCCTGGCCACTGCAGCCTTGACCTGCTGGGCTCCGGCGATCCTTCCGCCTCAGCCTTCCAATTAGCTGGAACTACAGGTACGCGCTACCATGCCCGGCTAATTTTTTGATTTATTGTAGAGATGAGTCTTGCCAAGTTGTCCAGGCGGGTCTCAAACCCACGGGCTCAGGCAATCCACTCACCCCAGCCTCTCAAAGTGCGGGATTACAGGCTGAGCCACCGAGCCCGGCCGTGTTTTTTTAAAATAATAAAAGATTTGAATAAATCAAACAACTGACCCATCATAGACCGAGGAGGGAAATAATAAGCTGCCAAATCAACCCCCAAGACCAAATGCTAAAATTATATATTTGAAAACATAAATAGATGCCCTCCTTAAGGGGGTAAAATGAGAGAGGAAGGGAAAGAAAGAAGAAAGGGTTGAGAAAATTAATGAAATGAAATGGTTAATCAGAAATCAGGTATACTTTTATATTCACCAGTTCTTGCTATTAGAAAACTGAGAAAATAAAATTGTTTTAATCTAAAGCTTGGAAATGAAAATAAGCAGAATATCTGATGGCTACCGTATATTAATCATTAGCAAAAATTTCAGTCTCCAAAGTATAGATCTTTTCTATCTTTCTAATGGAAACCCAGGATTACTAATACAACAAACATGGTAAAAGGTAATCTTGTTTAAATTCAGAAGAGGAAAAAATTTAGTTTCTTTCAATCTAAATCACTAACTTTTACTAAGCTGCAATTCAACATAAAATATATATTAAAGGGAACTTAGGCGGTTTACGGTGGCTCACAACTATATTCTCAGCACTTTGGGAGGCTGAGGTGAGAGGATCGCCTGGGCCCATGGGTTCGAGACCAGCCTGGGTAACTTGGCAAGATCTCATCTCCACAATAAATAGATAAAAAAATTAGCCGGACATGTTGGTGCACGCCCATAGTTCCAGCTACTTGGAAGGCTGAGGTGGAAAGATCACCTGAGCCCACCCAGCAAGTCGAGGCTGCACTGCACTCCAGCCTGGGCGACAGAGTAAGACTCCGACTCAAAAAAAAAAAAGGGAACCTAGCAATTTAGGGAGAGGGAGATGAAGTTCCACGAACACTTATCTTTCTATTGTATACCAGGTACTGTAAAATAAGGCATATTTGATTAAAAAATGAAGGCCACAATACTACCAACTACTGTATTTAAGAGTTCCTGATAATTAAATTTCAATGTACCATAGGTGTAAAGGAGTCTCAGGTATAGAATGGGAATAACACATCTTTAAAATACTTGGCTTCTAAGGACGAAATGAGGTAAGATACAGAAATGATACATTTGAAAACATAAAGAATAGATGCCTTTTAGATGGCAGGTCCTTAAAATTAATAGCTATTTTGTTATTATTAAATACATAATGATGTTTAACATTTTTATGATAATTTCTAGGATAAAAATGTTAGTTTATACCTATAAGCCAATGCTGACTTTTTTTTGATATAGTAAGATATAGTATTAAAGAATTTTTGACTTAACAAAAATATCGCTTTTTTTTTCATTCGGAAAATGGTCAGGTATCAATATTTAGAATATAAGAAAATACAACGACATGTCCCATTTGTGAAATACTACAAAACTTTAAACATTTAAAAGTCGATACAAAACTGAAATCAATATTTTCTTTTAAATACATTTATATTTAATCATAAAGTGGCAAAAGGTCAAAGGGGAAACAGACATGTGTGAAAAGTAAAACATGAGAAGCATCCTTGCTTTTTAACAACTTGCTCTTCTGGTAATTAATCCATGCCCAGGACTGCTAATCTAGTTTCATGAGGGTAAGAAGGAGAAGTTACCAACAAGACAGCAGCTCCAAGTCACTTAGGAGGGCAGAGCTCCAAGACCCACACGCCTCCCATTAGGCTCTAACTCTCAAAGGTTCCATCTCCCAACATTGCTACAC